TATCACCATATCTTTCTTATACTCGGAATTCAATAAATATTTGTGACATTTAATTAAATTTACCAAGACTGTCAATCAGGCCCCACCTGGGAAACTCAGGAGGACGTCCTTAATAAGTGAGAACTTCATGGTCTAGGAGGATTCATAAGCTCCTTACACCATATACAAGACCACAAGGACATATGAAATCATACATAAAAGCCTCAAGCAAATGTTACAGAATTCTCAAACATATGTCAGAAAATTATCTCCTTCCTGAAATTATGTCTTGAGAACATGTTTTTTTAATCCACAAAAATACTATTTTAAGTTATTAATCTACTTAAAAGAAGCCCTGGTGGCACAAGGGTTAGGTTAAGTGCTTACCTGCTGACTAAAAAGATGGCAGCTCAAACCCACCAAGCTGCTCCACAGGAGAAAGAATTGGAGACCTGCTTTTGTAAAGATTACAGCCCAGAAAACCTTTGGGCAAGTTCCACTCTGCTACATGGAGTCACTCTCAGTCAAGACTGACCCACTGGCACCAACAACAACAATCGACTTGAATTCACAAGTCTTTCAGTCTCAGATAATAAACCCTGGCAGCTCACAGTTGGACTTACTCCAGTAATGTTCATTTTAGATATATTGATGTCTCCTTTGTTCTTAAGAGTACCTGCCTTCTCATTTTTTGCAAGATTGAAAACACTGAGGGGAAAATACAGAAAGAGTAAGAATTTACTGCCCTTCTTCAGAAAAGTAACAGCTCATGAGAAGCATTTCTAGGATAATCGCCTCTAAAACACATTCACAACCATGTTTTTCATGTTCCTGGAAAGAATGGGAAGGAGAAATAGGATTTGAGGGGATAGAAAAGAACACTGTAGCAGTATTTTCCCTTGTCCCAGAGAAGCAGCCTGGCTCCAGTGTTGCCAACTTGTACAAGGTGACACAGGTCCACTCCCGTGGCCTCCCGGAGCCTCAGTTTCCTTCTTAAGTGTTCAAAAGAAAAGGAAGAAGGAGAAAGGCAAAAAAGAAGAAATTGCTCTAACTCCCCAGTTTACATCTCAGGGTTGTTGTGAAAAAAAGAATTAAATAATGTTCATAAAAATTCCCTGAAAATTACCCCCTCAAAACAAACAAACAAACAAAA